CGAACGAGTGTACGAATGAGCGGGGTGTATATGGACTTCTAAAAAAATTGGACTTGAAATTTTTGCCTCCATTTGGTTGAAACAATATGCCACATTAACGCAGAACAGCGAGAGAGGATGAAGGTAAGAGAGTTAATCCTCCATTAACGCCTTGCTACCATGCCAAGGCAATCCCTCTCAAGTTAATTTTAGATCACTATATTCCGGGAGGGTCTAAAGATAGCTAATCTCGTAACGCTAATTTTAATCTCATGGACAGCCCAAGCGACACGATTTTCCTCCTCCACGAAAACATCAGCGCAACGCACGCCGCGTGGTAACATGATCCGCGGGAGAGCTGGACACTAAATCTAAAAAAAGACACTTGAGAGTCATTGCCTAAGATTAAGGCCTGTGAAGGTGAGATTAACTCGCTTCTACCTAATCCCCTCTTAGCTGAAAAACAGCTATGCCGCAGCAACGTATAAGACAGGCAGCCACAGTTACATATTTACAATAAGCTTTCCTTCCAATATCTTCAGCAAATCCTTGCGAGTTTTCACAAATTCTTGGACAGCGTCGGAAGTGACACCAGTGCAAGACCGTAGGTCAAGGCGAATAAGCGACGGAAAAAGCTTCAAAAAAGACAAGCATTTGTCAGAGAGCTTAGCACAGCCACTCAGAAGAAACTCGTTGATCGAGGCTTGGCCGCACACGCTTTCAATGTCTTGATCAGTTATTCCAGGACAGAAACTCAAATCCAGTTTCCGTAAGTCAGGGCAGTGTTGAACAAGCAAGCGAAGAGTCGATCCCGTGACGTCACTACCGGAAAGAAATAGCGTGGATAATCTACTTAGCGGGCTTTTGTTCTCCCCAGTCCCCGCGCGGGAGTCAGAATCAGGTACCAGAAGTTCTTTCATCAGCGAGTCAGTGATTCCCATGGACCAGCTTAACCCCAGGACTTTCAACCGAGGGCAGGTGACAGTTGGGAGCGCGTACACAGTAGCCTCTGTTGTACCACTCAGATAAAGTTCCCGTATTCTCGGGAGACGGTTCAAGAGCCATTGCAGTTGTTTAAAAGTGACGTTTGTCCAGCTCAGATTAAGTGTTGTGGGTTGGCGCCGCACAATCCCCTTAAGAGCAGAAGGAGTAACGGCTCTCTTTTCTGAAAGGTCAATCACAGACCATAGACGGCGGTCCATACACCAGCGGTTCCACGTACGACACACGCGCATGCACACACAAAGCTCAGGTTGCGAGAGAAAGCTAAATACTGACAGCCATAGCTGACGATCCATGGCGTGACTCTGGTCGTTCTCCAAAGGGAAAGACTGGGGAGGAGGAGAAACTGGACAGGGACGAACTACGCGCTTAGGGTGAACTTCCGGCGGAGGACCAGGTGGAGGTTTGGGCACTACAACAGGACGGCGCGTACGTGAAGTAGCCACTTCATCATCGACAGCAGGAGAAGATACGTCACTTTCGTCGTCTGAGGACTCGATCTCCATTTTGTTCTTCTGCAAGGAATACAAGAAAATAATTTTAAAACGCAAGTTGGTTCGTAGGTAAATGCTGTCCTCTTAGCTGTTTTTTCGGGTAATGGGAATATTGTGCTTTATATCAGTTATCTACGAGGAAGAACAGGTTATTCAAAATCATTCGCTAACAGCTCACAAACATACAATTTTCGACAAAATTGAGATCTACGTTTTCCTGTCTGCATTACAAATCAGACGAAGCTCAAAGCGAGGCAATCTTGGACACGAGTTGCAAACTAATGTTTAGGATCTCGTTAAGCAAATTAGCTTACAAAACAATCAAACTTGATACTTAGAAATAACCATGGAGACGTATGTTAAGGAAAACAAATCACTCACAATAATGGCGAGAAAATAGCCATGCCCGAAAATGCCTTGCTTCGGCCTCAGACAGGATTGCAGTGAAAATAAGAAAAGTCGGCAACTAGAGAATCTATTACATGGCCCCTGAGAAGGGGTCAGAGCGCCTTGTCCAGGTTTGGAGTGGCATACATGAGGTAAGTACCATCTGGAAAACACTGGGCTTAGAACAAGGCGTTCTCTCCAGTTTTCAAGCAAGACTTTACATGTTTAGCCACAAAAACGAAATGAAATTATACACATACTTAATGGCGCCTTCCCGATTTTCTGAGGCGATTGTTTTGCTGTAAGGTCATCCTGTCGATTAGGAAAACGAGTTTCGAGGTGAGTTCTTGGAAGAGTTCTTGGAAGAGTTATTTTCAGTTCCGTCCGTCGCCGAACGTACAAGACCCCTTCTCGTGGAAGCCGCACAGTCACAGAGAACTTGCAATGACCCGGCGTACGACTGTACTCAATCGCAAGACAACGTTAGGACCTTAACCAGTCATCACAAAAATGAACATTTGGAAGCGGTTATTACGATTGCTACAGTCGATTTATATCAATAGAAACAAAAAAGCAGCCAGAGCAGCATTAGAACGGAACGCGGATTTTAAAGCCCAGCCTGCTAACAAAAGGTTTCCACGTTAAAGAGACAAGTACGAACGACTCTCCTACACTCTTCGAGATCTGGTAAGCGTGTGGAATCCAGATCGGAAGGTCGTGAAACATTTTACAATTCGTGCCTCTCTCCACATACACCCAGTTGCTTAAAGGGACTCATAACGCTATCCATCGGATAGATTGCTACCCAGTAAATTAGTGGATATCGTAGCTTGTTTTGTTGACTGATCTATTCTATTTCATTTGTCAGGATGCTTAAAAGTTTATTAGCACCCATTTACACGGGTGGAGAGGGGCACACAGTGCCTTCAGACAAGGCTCGAAGTGGCCACCTACGAAGACGTTCTTATCACTCGACAGGCATTACTTTCTTCGTTGGGTAGAAGTAAGTGCATAGGAAGCTTGGTTCGAATCCGGTGCTTCCGATTCGGAGTTCAACATGATAACAATCATGTCACAGAGCCTCTCTAATTTACGATACCTTATTACAGGAAATTAACGCTTCATGAAATTAAAGTGCCTATGAAGTAAAAAATAATGGCTGCTTATTTGAAAGGCTTTTCAAAGTAGAGAAGAATGGCGTTTTCCTTTTTAGAAAATCTTTTTCTCGTTTTAGAGATATTTCCGTTTTTGTATTATGCAAACGAGAAAAGTGATGACGTCATAGGTGGTTCCACTAAATCAGTACAACACTCAATCAAGAATATCTCTAGAAGTATTAAAGCAGTGTTCTTTAAACTTGGCACAAGAAATGTACATCACAAAAGACACAATGGCACCCGTCGTGCCGTTGCCATGACAACAGTTATACTGCTGGTCCTGTTTTAATTAAGACTAAAATTCCCAGTTTTTATCTTAAACAAGGATCATACACTCCCAACAATCTAATGGGGAGAGTTAAGACAATATGGGAACCATGCGTGTTCCGAGCAAGACCCTCTGTCCCACTTTAAAAGGTTGTAAATGGGGATATTTGGTTTTTCACAGAAAGAGACTGGAGCCAAGAGTGTTGCCATGGCAACGATATAGTAGGTGTCATTTTGTTTCTTTTGTGATGTACATTCCTGGTGCCAAGTTTGAAGAACACTGCTGTAATATTTCTAGAGATATTCTTGATTCAGTATTTTATTGCTTAGGTGGAACCACCTATGACGTCATCACTTTCCTCATTTGCATAATACAAAAACGTGAATATCTCTAAAACGGAAAAAAATATTTCAAAAAAACGCCGTTCTTCTTTACTTTGAAAAGCCTTTCAAATAAGCAGCACTTATTTTTTACTTCATAGGCACGTTAACGCGAATATTTGAAATGCGCGTTAATTTAAGTCGCGTTAATTTAAGTAAATGTTAATTTCCGCGNCGCGTTAATTTCCTTTATTGGGAAGCAAATTTACCTTCATTCGCCTAAATTTAAGTCGCGTTAATTTCAAATACGTTAATTAACACGAGGGATAATTTCCTATAGTGAGGTAGTCAGCAGAGGAATAATTGGGATAATTTGATCATCATTACAACGAACCCACTGTCCATTTAGTGATCAGATCATCAATTTTCATGATCTGAGGAGAAATAAGATTTCGACAGGTGTTAAGTGTTGGGAAAAAGAGAGAACAGACTGATCAGCTGACTTACCGAGTCTTTGTCACTCCCAACGTAACGACCTTGTTTGATCTGAAACAGCCAAGAATGGTAATAAATTTAAACGCAACTCACATACTGTACTACTTGATAGCAACAACATCAACTAAATTCTCCATACTGAGTTCTAAAAATACCATTTTTAGTCTAGACACTTCTCCTGACTTCATCAAGTTTTTAATTCTCAACACCTTCTTACTTAACTTTGTGTTGAAAAACTTAAGAGAATTCAGTGGTTAATCACTGATGGGACCCTAAACGTCCAAGGGAAAGAGTCGCTATGCCCTCTAGTCGCTATACCTTAAATGAAGAGTGACCCATAAAATCACAGACATGTTAACTTCTAATGCGAGAAGGCTCTCGTTAGCGCATCTTAAAAATCGAAACGATTCAGTGGAAAAAGGAGTAAGATTCACACTGGATATCTAGTCATTGTACCTTTTTAGAAGGTTCCTTCACTGGACTTGCCTATAATCAAAGAAACAAAAACAAACGTCAACGGACGATATTTCGCGAATCCGAAAATAATTGAAGGCAGAGAAGAAATTTCCCACTTCTTTAAAAACGTTTTTCCTAACATTTACTAGTTGTTAGCTGCACGTTGTTTCGACGTCAGCGTCCTCATCTTACAACACGACCAGGCATCACAAAATGCTGTTTTCTGTAACTTCTTTTGATATTTTTATACAAGTTTTCTCGAGTTCTTACCACTAAAATTTCTGACCAACCAGAGCACTCGTATTATCTCGGCCATTATATTATGCTTAATTACCTTGCGTTTCTTTGAAGGTGTATTAGGGAGTTCCTCAAGGGAAGGCGCCTACAGAGAGAAAACAGTTATGACCAGGCCTGAGTTACCAGTTCTACTTCGTTCATAAAGTTAAAACCCAAACGTAAAAACATACCATTACAAACAACAAATAACAATGCAACCTATATCAACAGCCCTACTTAGAAAGTGAATGAGGACGCCGAGTCCTTTCTTACGTGACCCCTTATAAGACAAAATGATACAAAACATACCCCATTCGGAGAGCAAGACAGACAAACAAATGAAATAGATGAATTTCACTCAAAATCGGGGTGACCTTGTTTTGACTCAAATCCAGCTAGAGCTTCAAATAGTCTTAAACGTGCGCTGCCAAAAGGTAAAAATTCATGGAGCCGAGTTATGTGAAAATGCTGTTTTCGTTCAAAAGTTACAATTTGACTCGCAAGAATTACTGCTGTTCTTTTCATAAATTTATTAATGTTTCAGCATTTTATGTATTTTACCATACGACCTAGGATCGACTTCCGCCGCCCTTTTGGTCCGGTCTACGTTAGTTTGGGGGAGAAGCGCGTGCTCCTCTCCCGAACAGCAGCTGGTAATCGAGCCCCCACACGACCCCTGCCTGTCTGCCTGTCTGTCTTTCTGTCTGTCTTTTTGTCTATCCGTCAGTCTGCCTGTCTGTCTGCCTGCGTCCCTGCCTGCCTGCTGAGTGCCTGCCTGCCTGCTTGTCTGTCTGTCTATATAACTACAGTCGACTCCCGATAACTCGAACCCTCGCTAACTCGAACCTCGTGTTAACTCGAACCAAAATCGATTTCCCCTGGATTTCCGTCATACGTTTACTGTAATTTTACCCTCGATAACTCGAACCTCCCGCTAACTCGAAGCAATTTTCGATTCCCTTCAGGTCATTTTCTATATAATTTTACCCTCGATAACTGGAACCATGTCTGTCAATACGTGACAAGTCAAAACAAGCAGTGTACTGTAGTACAAAACATTAAATTTATTTTAATGCAGTCGTGTGAACTTTTTCCTTTCTTTTGCATTACACAATACGTGTCAGTTCAGTTCAGGTTCCGATGGTTTCCACAAAGTGTTGCTTCTTAACTCCTTTTTCAAAATGTCAATAAATCTCTTGGCTCCCTTGAAGTGTAGTGTGCACGGTACTGACATCCCTTTCCCATCTCCACGGTTAACTGCCTTGTCAGTCACATTAAACATTGTTTTTTCTCCCTTATTTCTGGCCATTTGTTCTCAACTCCCGATAACTCGAACCCCCGACAACTCGAACCTTTTTCAATTTCCCTTGAAGGGTCGAGTTATCGGAAGTCAACTGTATGCATAAAAATGCCATCAGTGAGGTTCCCGCGTTCTTACCGTGGCATCTTTACAGCACTTAGGACACTCCCAACAGTTGTTGATCTCAGTGATCATCTTACAGCGCCCTTTATTGTCAGTCAGGCAAGATGGGTGAACAATCTCTCCGCAGAAGCGACACTCCATCAGCGGGTTCTCGTCTGTATTGACCTTGTTACACACCAAACATCGCACACAAGTAGGCAGGTTGGGCTGAAAACAACAATTAAGCAAGGAAACGATTTTGTTAGTAGGCGATCTTCGATTTCTGCAAAGCAGTTGGTTTGAGTATGTTCGAAGTACTGAGAAAAGCGTCTTTAAAGCCAGATCAAACCAGAGTATACAAGAGTCGAGTGATCACAGTTGAAGGAGGGTTTTCTTCAGCTTCCATCGACTGTTATGAGCGAATTATAACATGCGGGACACGTAATGAAGAATACACAAGGCCCCTTTCAAGGGAAAACAAGTTTAACCTGTTATCAAGCGTCTTATTTTCGTAACGGCGAAGATCAGAGCAGAATTATTTCAATACTCCATTAGGTACTAAACAAAATAATCACTTCACTCCTGCATCGGGAAAATCAACTTTTGAGACTCGGTGACAAATGATAGATCTTTCTTGCCTTATAGTTAAAGTTAAAATTGCTTTTTCTATCCCGCCGTCGCAAGTATTCAAGGACTTGTCAACAAGAGTCAAGGACTGCTGGTAAAAAATTCAAAAACGTTTTGAAGGACAAATACCTCAATTTTCAATTTTCGAGGGCTTTTCAAGGACTTTTCAATCTCGGTGCAACCAAAATTATTTAATCTTGATGGGATTTGAAGCACCATTGCTCTACCGACTAAACTACGAGACCATACAAGGAAAGGTCAGAGTAGAATAGATATTTCGATACAAGAAATATTTCACCCTTTTCTTACGACATGTAAAAGAGGATGTTTTCGAAAACATATAAAGAAAATAAACAATGATACAACATACATCTATGCATGCTCGCATTAGGCAAGACTGTTTCATTCTTCCCGCCCCGCCAAACTTCTTCATATCTTTACAGGTTCGGCACTCGCCACAGTCCTCTCGTTGGCAATTTTCACACTGCCCACATCGAGTGCGCCGGCGTCTGATTCCTGGGCCAACCTTTGTACCAAGCATTGGTCCTCTTGGACCCGTTTTCCTGGGTACTGGTTTCTTCTGTAACAGAAAAACAAGTAGACATTTTTTACTCTAAGTGTATTTTTTTTGCAATTCGACAGTAAACAAACTCCAGGGAACAAAGTAAGAGCGTCTGGGATCTAGGGCTACCATTTGTGGGTGATTGCTATTAGAAACTTTCTACTAATTAGAGCTCACTTTAAATATCCAAATGATCTCGGTGGCCAGTACGTGAATTTTCTCGAAGCCAAAGTCGAAAGATATCACCAATCAACGCCAGTGCCCAAATTAATGTTTTTAGATACCATACCATTTTATCACCTGCGCAATCTTTGCTCCCCTTACCTGTATTGGTTTGTCGATCTGTAACAGATGCTGCAACCCAGAAGCTGCTAGCTTAGGATCATCTTCCCGATGCTGTTCAAGGAGTTCCTAAATGAACAACAGCAACAGAAAGGTAAGGACAAATCTTCGTTCGAGCCTTGTGGCCCATCAGGCTGGGGGTTATGTCCGGTTTTCTTAACATGAAGCGACTAGGAGTATTTCTACTCCTCCATAGATGGGATGCTTGTCCTTGGCAGGGTCGGTACCCATTTATACATCAGGGAGGAGATAGGGAGGCACTGTAAGAGTACGACACAATGACCCAGGCCAAGGCTCGACACTGGACTGCTCAATACGGAGGTCAGCCAACACTAACCACTGACCCCCCGAACACATCTACTGAAGGTCGTGGTAAGTGGATATTACTTGACACCGAGGAGAGACGAAGTAATCCTAGAGTATATATTGATATCTAGAATTGTCATAGAGTTAGGCGAGGTAAGTGTTATCTGTCATTTGAAAAGAACAATGACAAAACCGAATCCAATAATTCTGTTATTATGAATTGTAGCCAAGAACTTATGAACATAGTTTACATCAAGTTACACTGTAAGCTACGTTTTTACGTTCAATACTTAATATTTGAACAAACGGTCAATCTTACCGAATAACTTTGACATTTAACAGCTTAAATAAGAGTTCTCCCCAAAAGAGCGACCATATGTAAAAATGGCAGAAGGACAATGAATAAAACAACCCCATTTGATACGAGAAAAAAATTCAAGGATATCTGTCCTTGGACATTATCTGTTCCCCAAAGCTCACAGCTTTAGTACTGTAAGGCCCCGCAAATGATCCCGGCCTGCAAATGATCTCCGTACCGCAAATGATCCCCAAATTGTACCGCAAATGATCCCAGGACCGGAAATGATCCCCAGATTGTACCATAAATGATCCCGGACCGGAAATGGTCG